TTATGCTTGCACACTCATCCAGTATTGGTAAGATAGCATGATTGTGTCCCAAAAACTCGAACTCTGTTGTAAAAATTCGAAATGCGCCTGATGTAGCTGCCTAAGCAAGATATAGTTAATAATTATTAAGATATAATAACTTTCACAATATGTGTTTATTATTTGACGCATTAATTCAGGGTTTCCCAATCTAAAAAGAATACAACAGAATCAACAAGAATCTCATCTCCATTTATCGTAATAGGCAATAAAAAATTTGTTTTTGTCTGATCGAAATGGCAGAAGAGGCTGCTAATAAAAAGTCATTTTCTCCATGTCACGCCTAATCAGGCGCCGAGAACATCTATCAGATCATATATGTTCCAGTCAGTGTTAGAGGCACTGCAGTGTCGATTAGTGTACATTATGTCACCTGGGAATAAGTTGCTTCCGAAAAAGCAACCTGACAATTTTTTGCGTTCGGGTGACGGTCTCGGAAAAACACTCCCGTATAAGTCTGGAAACTTTGCAGTTCATAAACAGCATTTTTTACAAAGTTTAACTTATCACAGCGTTTCACTAGCATGTACGTCTGTACGTATAGGGATCCTATGTATAATAAAGTACAGTTTAGTGTACAATATAAGCACAATTGCTTATAATTTACATAAATAGAGGTGTTACTCTATTGTTGCTGTTAGTACGTTCGTAAAGCCTTTAAACCTTTACACAGAAAATGGATGGTAAAATGTAGTTCTATATAACTATGAAAATAATAGAAAAGAGAGGGTGGCTATAATAATGTTTTGTGATGAATTGGTACTTGTACCTAAAATATAATGGCATATAGATACTTGAAAGTTTTTCATACAAAACAGGACAGTCCTCATTACTCAGAAAGCTTAAATTAATTATGAGTCAGCCAAATTCATATCATTATTTTTTTTGGCATCGCCCAAAACAACATGGCTTATTAGCCGGCTGATCATTCCGTTCAGTCACGGAAGAATGTATCAAAAGATGATATTCTATTACTTTGTCATTATTTTGTAGCTAAAAAAATTAAATGTACATGTTTAAAAAACGTTTTTAAGACGACGCGCACTTTTTTAATAAAACACGCACGCTTTGACCTCTCAGCTACTGCATGATGTATAATTTAGAATTTTTATGCTGATTTATTGGCAATATAAATAAATTTGTAAATTATAAGTTAAGAGCTTAGAAAACGCAAAAACGTGACACTGCGAAATTGGTTTTTCATGTGGAAATAGTTCGAAATTCTGTTCTCTGGATGCGAAAAAAAATCATTATAAATTGTGTCCTCAAAAGACGTCAAGAATGGGATAAAAAAAAAGCTAAATTCACATATTAAAAAGAGAAGTTCTAAGTTTGAAAATATCGATCTTTTTTCGTCGCAGAATTAGTTTGTGAAATTTCATATTATGGTCTAACCAAAAAACGATGAGCAAGCTAAGAAGCTATAGTCTATAGTTATCATAATCCTCTTAAAATTCTCCCTTCTAAATTTCAAAGCTTTCCAAGATAAATGACGTTTAGTTTGCGTCTCCGTTGCCCCCTACAGCTGCGGGCCTTCCGCGGCTATTTCCAGAAGTCGCACTAACGAAATGGCTCTATCATTATCATGAATATAAAAGTCATCACCGTCGTCAGCGCCAATGCAAATATCTGTAGGCAATAGATGGCTTCCTAGGCAACATTTCAGCCTACACCTTAAGAATAGCTGGCCAGTAGGGAGCTAAGCACTGCTGCTGCTGCTGCTGCTGCTGCTGCAGAGGGTTGTCTGCACCCCTTCTCTCTCAGCATTAATGAAGAAACGACTATAAAATATTTTGGTTGCGGAAGCACCGCATGCAGCAACATTACTCATCGCTGGTGAGCATAAGCAGTCAGGAAGGAGCTACAATCAAAATGAAACAAGCAATTATCCTAGCCGCTTTCGTTGTGCTGAGTGTCACAGGACAGCGTCCTCACGAAGATGCACACGGACCTCCTGAGCCGTATCAATATTCCTACGCAACGGAAGATCAGGAGGGCTCTTCCACTGCTAATGAGTCTACTGATGGTTCCGGCCGAATTCAAGGTGAATACACGATCTCGTTAGCCGATGGACGTCAAAGGACTGTAACCTACTGGGCCGACGGGAGTGGGTTTCATGCCGATGTGATCACCAACGAACTCGGAACCGAGTCGAAAAGCCCAGCCGATGTCACAGTCCGATCCTCGGCTCCTACAGGCGATGAAGCGGCTCTTCAATTCGAGTCTCAACGGGTACGTGCCCAGGCTTCATCTGCTCAGCCTATCACGGTACCAGCCTCTGTAAGACGCTTCTTCCGGGCGGCATAATATATTGCTTACGACAATTTGCGTGATCAACTAAACTCGCTAAGAAGTGCAGCAAATATTCCACTGTATGTGACCAAATAGCGTCTACTTCTTTTTGTTTCCTTGTTGCTTTGCAAAGTTTAGTAACGATTTAAGAACGCATTTTGATCTCTACTAACCTTGGGCAGAACAGAATAAAGAAGCGGTTCTTTGGTTACTTATACATAATACTCTATTTGTTTTCTGTGAAGTAAAATCGTTAGTTAATCAAGCGCTAACTAAGCTAGCCAAAACGCATCTAATTACGGCATAAGAAATCATTTTGTGTGAGGTTATTTAAGAGACATCACAACGCTACCCCCTATTTAGCAAAGTTCCCCATATGCATGCCTATATGTAGAGCTGTTGTAATTTCTGCAAACTTCATATTCAAGCATACATAGAAATATGTATGCTTAGTAGACTCTGCGATGACGAGGTACGCTTTTAGAGTGGATATCGCAGCCGTGACGCCCTCTTCACCCTATTTAAAACAAAAATGTTATTCATACATACAAAATACCTTTACAACGTACATTTTCAAATGGTCTGTTTCATCATGGGTAGTGTGTCATTCTGTTTTTTCTTATTTTATGTTAATTTAATTGATATTTTTTTGCATTCGCTGCATCGTATTTACACAATAGCATTTCAGATAGCTTGTGGTCAATTAGCGCTTGAGAGAAAATTTTAAGGACACGCATGCAGGACTTGATGTGCTCAGCCCAATAAAGAGGCCACAGCAGATCACCAGAAAAGTAACTTGAATGAATACACAATTTATGTAAGGTTTAACAAATTAAAATTTATGAATTCAAATATTGAATTAATCCTTATCTATTTAGAGACGCTATTTTTTATTAGACCATTTCAAATATAAAAGTAGTAAGGTAAGAGTATTGACCAAGAAATGACGATACATTGGAGACCTATTACTTGATACCCAACTTCAAGTAATCTTGGAGCTCTATTTAGAAAAGCCCAGGATTATTGGCTTAGGCCCCCCCCCGTAACGCATGCCACACAACACAGATGTATAATCAAATAAAGTATGTAATATGACTTAACGGAACGTTAAACGTTTGTCGAATACATAAGTATTCCTTGCTCATTTTTAAGAGCAAATCATTGGTTACCGCCAAATCTCACCGACAAAACAAAAGCATGTGTTGGTTATCTTTTAGTTGTTGGGTCGATTGAACCTGTCTGAGCATTTGTAAACGAGCCAGCCTTGCCTAAACCAAACTGGGCTATGAACAAAGAGCTAATTACTCTATCCCACCTATCCTTTGACCCACCTACTGTATTTCCGTCCTTCTATCGAAATGTTCTAGAAGCCCTGTTGGCTTGCCCTAGGCAAATATTGAGCTTGCTCTAATATTAGCAGATTCAATTCTTATTAGATTAACCGAATGTGAGCTACAATTTTCGTGGAAATCTGCACCTTTTCACGAATCCAGTCGCAATAGTTTCTAAAGCCCATTGTCATGAATTTTCCTATTCAGTATTGTAATTCTATTCAGCAGGTCGTCTGTTTGCTAATAGCGCAGTTATTCTATTATTAAACGAACGTAGTTCGAATTATTAAATATTTGGATCTTACATTCGGTAGTGTCATTAGGTGTTGCTTAAGACGACTTATCTTTCCCAGCACGAAAAAAACGTGTATTTGGACTGAGATCATCTCAGATGTTCCTGCGTTTACTAGGTAAACACTTTTACATCGAATCATCACGAGGTTTCGTTCAACCTAATGCATAGCCTTTTACATTACGAAAAAACCCTATTGGATCCTATTAACACACTTGATCTATTTTCTTATCACAGAAATTGACAATTTGAAAATTTCCTAGAAGAACTTCAATAGCAAATTGAAAGTCTTCATTTCAAAATCGAAACGAATGTTCAACTATTATATAGAACCAGTGTCGAACAATAGACGCGCAGAAACCAGTCTAAGAATATACTTAAACCTTGCTTCAGCTGCACACGCCCAATGGATTGCTTTTATTCCAGTATTCCATTAAATAAATAAACTCACCTTTATGATAACTAATATCGATATGTGATTGTTTTTTAGCTTTCCCATTTCAATGGATACGTTTTCAGATTTCCACATCGACATACTCATCGAATTCTCTACCATTTCAGCAAAAAAACACCATTTAATAACGAAAGAAAGTAAAACATAGTTGTTTTTAAAGGATGCATACTTATGCTTAAAAAAATTTTAAATTAAAAAAAAATAGTGACTTCATAATGTCACCCATTTAAAAAACCTTACTGGTATTCGAAGAAATCGGGCAAAATAACAGATTTGCTTAAATTAAATGTTGTAGAAGAAAGAAACTGCCTCCTTCAAGTAAATACTCAACAAGTCACAAAACCTAATGCGCAGGTCAGCCTCTAATGAGACTCTACCAGTTTAGTAGAAATCAGATTAACAGGCACATACAGATACTCAGCTGTAATAATAAATATTAAGATTTAGACAGGGTAACCGAAAAATTGCTATATAAATAATTCTTAACAAGTGAGCGAGAGGTCACTTTTTGATCACCCTCTATTTTATTTAATTTTAGTTTATGTGGCCCCTCATGCTTGTTGGCTATTGTCGGACAAAGCTAAGAAATGAATTAGCAGTAAGCACAACTTTTTCGCCCAACATGCGAGGAGTACGTCATGACAATTTTGTGTACTTATTGCCGAATTTTACGCAAACGAGAGAACATAATATCAATTTAGGCAGAGTGACATCCGTTAATCCTACAACTGCGGTGACGTTAGAGAGTCGACCGCAGCATACGAAATTCGTTATTAGGGCAAGTCATTTCAACTAGTGTGCTGAACAAATGCCCCAAATTTTGTAAGTGGTATGAGAATTTCTATGATTCGCGTTCTCTAAACTTATAGAAGAATCCTTATTTGTGTATTCCAGTTAAGACATTCGCTTGTTTTTTGCAGGGCTAAATCCGGTTAGACTTCGCCTAAACGTCTGACTACGGCCTATCACTTTTCTTACGGCAATATCTCATGTGTAAACGTTTCTTGTATACAGACATCTATTCAAAAATGTTTGTTTGAAATGCTTAACGATTATGCCATATTTTTTATAGCATCGGTTATTCCTTGTTATAATTAACGATGTAATAATACGCGGCGACCTATCCGGAACACAAGATAACTCCGACCGTAAAAAAAGGTAACCTTAAAAACCTTAAAAACGACCTTAAAATAGGCAGCAAAGACTTATCTAAGATGATCCTTTGCCGTCCATATAGACACAGAAACCTATCCGCCTTTTCTTAAAATAGATAGACTCAAGACGCTCATTCAAACGGAATACATTTAAAAGAATATTGTCGAAATGTGTTCTTATAAGTTATATAAGGGGCACCTTGACGCAACTCGTTCTTAACTAGCGTTACTCCCGTTTAATTTAAGCATAAATATACACCGGGAACATTATCACAAAGGTTGATAATATTCCTGTTTATCAAATAGTTATCCAGAAAACTCTAATATCTTCAGTATATTAGAAACTTATTAGGAAAACAAATTGGGATAGCAGGTTAGGATAAGATTTATTCTACGATACAGATAAATGACGATTTTTTTGGGAAATCTATGTTGTAAATGTTAGCAAAATAGTTTTATCTTTTATAGAATGTGCGGAGCAGAATATTCACGTACTACCCATATTCGTGTATTTGCTTGAAAATTAAACTGGGGCAGATGGTATTGATAGAATCGACTGGTGTATACTGGTTCCAGTTATAGCTAATGTGAACACATAAAATTGATCCTGACCTAAAAACACTCTTAATATAATAGGATGATGATTCGTAATAACCCATAGTGGTATTTTTATTGAAAATGAATCAGCTATATATTAGAACTTTTAAACTTGGAATCATTTTCAAATGTTAACTTTTTGCGCGTTCGTTTTCAGAAGAAAACCACTTTGCTATAACTGCCGTTACAGATTTCTCCAAAATAGATATTAATGTATGTGATAGACTAGCTTTCATTTCGAGCTAGTAGGTCATGGTTATGTCAGCTTTTACTAAATTAAAGAAGTATTACTAATCGTTGTATGATTCAGTCTAATATTATTTTACCATTTCTTGGGCTCGTACCCCTTATAAAAAATCATTACTCTCTATGTGGTATTAAATCTAAAGGGAGAAACTAAGCCAATTAGAGATACATAAAGACAAAAACCATTTAACTATTCGAACCCTCACAGCAAGTAAAATCCCTATCAGTAGGACCTACCGGAATTGGAGGCCGTGTCCTTTTATTAAACGAAAAGTGGGGTTCATTTTGTTGATGGCGGTGTTGAAGTAGAAGCTGTTGTCTTTTTGCCATTTCAACATCGCTCGTGCTGCCTGCATGGTCCTTCGCTGAAGGTGAACTTGTCCGCGGGTGAAAGAGAAGCTGAGGGCAAGCATAAACCTGTGCGCAATAAATAAGAACCCTATGATACCATCCAGGTATATCCAAAGAAAAAAATCCAGATAACCTAAGTATTTACATAATTTCCAACCGGAATAAATACGCAAGTAGTATTAGTATTACTCGTGTATTTTTTTTTGTCAATTAACGCCTGCAAAGGCGAATAGACAGTACGAGTCGCCTGTGGAGTACGAATCGCCTCGATACAACAATGACTAACAAACAACAAGCAACCTAAGCGGGCCACATAATGAGATGATACCTAGACCTTTATAAATTTGCAAAAAGTACTAATTGTTGACTGACTTACTTCCTCAAGCGCCTTCCTCTGTTCCCGTTTTCCGCGTTTAAGCGCCTGCAGGTGTTCAAGATAGCTCTGGTATCCGGCGGTATCTTTAAGGCTTTCGCAGAATCGAACAAAATCAAGATCGATGTGATACCCGTAGGGGCAGCAATCGCAGGTGCCGTCGCCGCACCTAGCGAACATGCCTGGCGTCCACGTCTGGCAACCTAGGTAGACGAGTCGATTTTTGTATTGAGAGCAATATCAACATTGAATCAACAAGCGATTGTTAAGAACACATGAGTTAGAAACAGTATTAGGTTGTTAGCTTTAAAAAGCATAAGGCAGCAGGCAGTCTTTACCTGTATATCAATGCTAATAAAATGTATGATAATAATGATGATGCCTTTTGTATTTACTATTGATAACCAAAGCTATGCAAGTACCAATTACTTGAATGTTTTCTGAGCTCAAAGCTGAGCGGAAGAGCGAATATAACCATTTGAAAGATAATGTTTTACCATTTGAAAATCGATGAAATCTGGCAAGACTGGTCGCTCGAAGTCGAGATCCGGTACTGCGACCAAACGAACCGAATGTTGGCGGAGCCACAGGAGATTCGATTGGCGCCATCTCTGAAACGCAATACCAGCAATATTGTCATAAGAACGATGGAAAAAACGGAAATACTAAGTGTAACAGATTATTCACATGTTGTAAAATGATCTAGCTCTACATAAACATTTATGTTGCGCAAGCATACAATTGTTTAACATAAAAAAAACCTGTGAATATGTAGGTCCTTATTTTGTTTGAATCAATGCATTCACTTAATGTTAGGGGGCCTTAATGAGAGCTTAATGTTAGGAACTATTATTTGCCTCTTGTTTACGCGCAACATTTATAACAAGGCTTTTCAACCTCGATTGGAATTACGCAACCTGAACATTGTAAGTGTGCGTCTTCACCATGATGTACATATTGCAGCTTCATTTGGTAACACTGGACAAGCTATGCGCGTAACAAATGATCTTAAAGCTAGGAAAGAAAACAGATTTATGCAATCAGGCTCAATGAGAGCCTGTTAGTTGTCCGGATTGTCTGCGAGGTTATCTGTCAAATTTTATAGACTATCACGATGTTTTATATCGGCCACCGTGACACCAAATGTGGAGTATTCGTTTGACAAGTGAGGTATTCTATGTGACTAACTGAAACAACGCTGCCTCATTGTGACCAGATTTCGCCTGAATGGCGCTCAGCTCAAGAGATTCAAGAGCTCAACAGACATGATAGTTGAATAGTAACGTCAAAATCATATCCAGCCATCTTCGTTTAGGCGTATGAAAGCGCATGGAAGGCGTATATGAAAGTATAAACCCTGACTATGTTCACACGAAGTACCAAACAAGGAGCAATAACAGGACTGAGTATCGTTCTAGGAGCACGCCGTCTGACAGCCATATATAGTAGCCGCGTGTCATCTGTGTGAAACAGCTGCGTAGCATGTCGAGCTGCAACGAACGTCTAATCGGGCGATCCCCGCCATGTCAAATATCGATAGTGTCGTCTCTTTGGCGCGGAACCCTTAGTGATTGTGTCAGCTTGCGATTGGATTGAAAAGTTTCTATAACGTTAGTAAAGTGAGGCTCACCTCTGTGAGCAGAAAGTAATTTGTTAATAATCGAGCGAAATAAAAAAAACAGGCTCAATAAGGTTAATCAATGCAGCTACACTGTGGGTAGCAGCCAGTGAATTAGTGAAACGAACGCCATTTTCATCAGATGTTTCGTATCAAAGCTGTTCTTTATGGCTAGAAAAAGAAAATCAACTTTTAATAACTGCATTCGGTCGCTTTAGCATCGTGAAAAGGTTAGCGAGGAACAGATGTTTGCGTTCATTAAATCCACTATAGATGTTTGTAACATATGTAGCAAACAATTCTTGCTTCTGTAAAAAAATACTCGATTTCAGTCTTCTCAATGAGGCATCTCTTTTAAGAAGATCTAAGAATATACAGCTAGTTAAATACAGATCACAGTTAGGGTAACGCCACTATCTCGAAACAGACAGTTTCCCCCGCTATTTGCTTTACTTCAGGATAATTTATATGGAAAAGTTCAGTTTATACCTATATGTATCTGATCGTAAAAGGTGACTGTATTAGAATTACTTTTACGCTCTTTCATGATTCGGAGAAGAATAGTTTTGTTATGCGCATATCCTAACTGTAACACACACCTGCTAATCAGCTTACGACGTGTGTTTGCCTCCATTTCCCCAGGAGAGAAATTGAAACACATTATCGCATACACGTAATCTTATTCAACAAATAGCAGCCGATGACTGCTTCTACAACTAAAGGTAGGCGAGGTTTGTATTATCTAGACAAGCATAACGAGAAGCTCGATGTATAATTTTATAGTGGCCGTCCCGTATTATTATTTCTACTTGCTTTGTTATTGTTGCCATATTTGATAGTTGCTATTTTCTACATATCGTTAAAAAAAAAAGCATCCTCTTTCATTCGCACTCCTACTCCTGTTCAGAGAATCCCCAATGGGACATCGGACACGCGAACTGATCACGATAAACAAATGGGCTAAACGTAAAATACAATGATTGCGATAGTGAACAAAGCCACTCTGTTCAAACTAAGTCACCCGTTGACGTGGGTTGTCACTTGACCATGTATGTAATGTAGCGTCTCCTGATTCTCTCTTTTTATCTGATCCTGTCACATATGGATATGACGTGTGGACTAGGCGCTGACGCGGGTGCTTTTCACTTGTTGTTTTTCTGACTGCAACAACAACGATAACGCCAGCGGAAGCTATGAAAATCTGCTTCCCAAGTCAATAACACCCCATCCCTGTCGAAATACAAGTATCCGTAATATACAGTGTGAGGCGCCCCCTTTGCGCTGTCGTTGCGGGTCAAACCCGGGTCGAGCTCAGACACTGCCGGCGGTAATGGCATCGCTTTGAAGCTGGTGGCGTACACGTTGTTGTTGTTGACGACGTGAACGACGCTGATGATAACGGCTGCAACGGCGGCGGCGGCGGCGGTAGTAATTTTGGAGAATGTTTCACAGGTGCCGATGCTGTGGCAACAACGTCACTACCTGGCGTTTACGCAAGTGTTATTATTCTCCGCTCTTAGCTGTTATTATAATAACACAATTGCCAATAACAACAATCATAATGATGATGATTATTACAATTAATATAGGCCGAATGTAGTCCATCGATCTAGCTAGCTCAAATCGAAGACAAATGAAAGGACTCAGATAACGAGAATTACATCGAAAACGTTCTGTTTGTGACAGAAAATATCGAAAACTGAAAATGACACAAGCATCGAAGCTGAATGATCTTCTGATTTTTATTTTGCCATCGTCTCTTAGCACATGCACGCGCTGGCTAACAAAGCAACGTGATGGTACCCATAGACGGTAGGACGAAAACAGCTGAATAGCAGCAGTGAAATTTATTGGGACTTACAAAATTATCCGGCGACAAAGCGGTGAACGAAGTGATATGATAGTCAATAGCACACTAGAACGAAGTTTCTGCTCAGTATATCTAAAGCTAAAAAAAATTCGTTACTAAAAGTCTATTCTTTCAATGAATGAATTTCTATTACACACTAGTACTACTTAAGTCATTTAGGGATAGCTGAATACGCCAGAAGCGATCAGTGTTGATGATTGGAGGTATCGCGCCACTATAGACTATCGAACGAACAGAAATTCTGTGCTGTCTATTCCGGAGTGGATGGAAAAATTTATACTGAAAATTGAATGTAGGTAGAGTTAACTATTTACACACGTGCAACACAGTGCAGGCGGGTTAGTGGGACGATTGCTATAAATTCGAAACAACTTCATTGTTTTCAAAGAAGTTTCATAGTACCGCAGTAACTCACCACATTGATTTAACAACGATGGCCAATGGATTTAGTTTAACCATACAGGAAGACAATCTGCGCTTTTTCAGACGGCGACCAGACAGCTGATCATTCATGTCACATAGGATTCCAGCCAGCCACGCAATTCCCCTTAGTTTCTCTAACAGCAAATGTCGATTTTCAAGTCGTTGTTGTTCTTGTCCTGACCTATTGGAACAACTTAACCAAATTCATTTTTTGCGCGTGTAATATACAATCGTTGTACAAACAATAAACCCAAATAAGTATTGCGGTACAAAAAACTCCATTTGACGCAATCACTATCCAAACCGCAAAAGAGGCTGTGGCTATTGTTGTTGTTATTATCCTTTGAGTGTCTATCATAGAAAATCATTTCGACGATCACAGTCCGTCAGGAGGGAGGTCCGTCAGGAGGGAGGAGTTAATCGAAAATCAGCATCAAATTTAATTCGACAGCGAAATTAACGCGGTAAAATATCAAATTTGCACTGTGGTAAATAGCGTTTGATTTTCGGTCTCTCTGCTTTTTTACATTTGACCACCTGTTTTTTTTTGTTTACCTACGACGGTCGTTCAGTGTTTGTTAGAACAGTAAAAAAAACGAATGTTGCTCCGAAAGATTTTCTAGCAAACGGGAGTTCACAACGAATAGAGATTGGTTTTTCAACTTTTGACGACATATTTTATTTAGTATGTATCTGCCTGTGAGCGTACATGTATAATAGGTGCTTGCATCTGTACATCTGCTTTTCCATATATTAAGCAAAAGTGGTTAACTCTGCCTGAAACGAAGACAACAACGCATGACTTGAAGCTAGATTTATATTTGTTCACCCGCCAACAAACAATAATGCCTTGTTGGCTCTGCAAGCCATTGCGTAGCATTAAATATTTGTGCTAATTTCTTAGATCGTTCAGCAAAAAGCATGACAAATACTAATCTTATATAATAATACTTTTAGCACAGGTGAACATTTGTATATATATATATACCCTCAACAGGATATATATTGGAATTAACCAGTAAGAGACAATCTCTACTCATAATATTCTCGTGCTTTTTGTACCGGTTTTCCGCTTAGAAGCTTGTAGGATTTAGCTAGCAGGTTCTAAATGAGGTGTCATTAATAATGGGTTCCATGCAGTTGGCGTTGATACCTATCGTCTAAAATGTAATTTAGAACTTTTACTACGCTATTTCGAGTTTTAAAAAGTAGCTATCAGGTTATAGTTTTTATAGTAAATTTTAAAGAAATTATCATAACGTTACACACCTTACTCGAAGAGCCCAATACTTGATCGTGTCATTCCATGGAAGCTAAAACCTACCAATGAAAAAATCATGCCCTTTATCCGAACCGTGTTGCAATAAGATACGACAGATGAAGGTCTGTATTGGGAAAAAAGAGCAGCATACCTCAATCTAGATAAAATACCGCTAACTATCGGTTACTTACATGCGTAGAAGCTGATCAATATAAGCGTTAGACTGAAATTGGAAGAGGTGTTTTATCTTAGCGTTTGATAGTTATGTCATTTCTAGAGTCGTGGAAATTTCAGTAAAATCTGGCTGGTAAGTGGCTGACAACGAAACGATCGACAGCATCCCTCAGCGGTTCGCATGAGAAAAAATATCGATATAGCAACATAGCTAAGGGAAGTTGAGAGGCGATGCAATTGTGCCGGCCGCTCTATTGGCCCTTATTGTTAGGGAACCTGATAGATCCCAGCATGTATCACAAGTCTACTGACTATCCCGAATTAGAGCTTGACATGTTCAGATACACAACGTTATTTTCAATCGGTTTAGCGTGAGAAGGATTACAGTAATGGTAATTATATATATATATATATAGCGACGATTTGCTCGTACGTTAGGTTGATTGCCGAGGGTATGCCAATAGATGAACAGCACTAAGTCGTAACAGTCCAATCACGAAAGTTTTCCACCGAGATGGAAAGGATCTAAAAGAAAGACGCCATTTTATCGAATTTATTTGTACTGTAAATAGAAATCGTGTAGACAGCTACCTAGATAAGGATCTATCACGATACCATTGCATGATATCATACGTCATCACAGCTACGAGGAATCAATTACTTACGATACGCTTGCAACACCGCGAGTGCTTACATATATATAGGCCAATAAATGCTGCGCGACCATTGAATATACCCTCAAACATCATTAGATATAGTCAAAAGCAACAAATCAACGCGGCGAATCCCTATAACACGGTGTAGGTGTTTCGAAATGACTAAAAAAAATTAAAATCTATTTTCTAACAGAGATCATAATCAACCCGGACGGATAAATGTAAAATACCTTTATATTAGGTACGTTTACTATTATTGTTAATGGAATTGATCAGTTAAATGACGGTAGAACAAATATCAATCAACCTAGAACTGTCTTGATATATTGGTCTAGGTCATTTTTACCTTCAGCAATGGCCGTTCTTGCAAAAAAAGATAATGAACGTTTGGACATCCATTTTTTTCGAAAGAAATATTAATTAGTGTATGTATTTTTTTTTATTTTTAGATAAACCATTTTGCAAATATATATATATATATATATATATATATATAGCAAGAGATTTGTATAGTGTTGTTGTTTGAGTTCGCAAAATAATCTGTTTAAACCAAATGCTTTATATAGGAGATAAAATTCCACCCTTTGATCAATGCACATTTTTAATACCAGCTTCAGAGAAGATAAATCGCAAGAGTCTACGGAACATTAATGTAAAACTCATATTAACAAACTAGCCCAAATCGCAATTGTGACATTTTAAACGCGTTTACGCTTGAGTGTTGCAATACTCCGCTTATGTACACATATGTTATTTCAGGTTAAGTTAATGTCCGGGCGGTCATTACTGGAGTAGTTTTTGGAAGTTTCGTCTGTACCTAACACCCTAGAACGTGAGGGGTAATCCAACCATATCGGATTTGCGCCAAGGGCAGAAAATGTCCCTTACGCTATATGGATCAGATAATAAAATAAGCAAATTAGGTCCCTGGATTGCCTCGACGGCAAAGCAAAACCTGTTCAAAATATACTTTTCAAGGCGACTAGCTAGCAGTATACTCTGAATTGTACACACAAAAAAACTAGTAGACATCTGCGCTAGGTCAAAAGTGAATGACACGAATACGCTAACAAACAGAAAGAAAAATTAAAGAATCTGCAGATTCTATATTGAGAGTTGTCTCATCAAATAACAAAAAAAAGAAAAGACAAAAAAACGCTGCGAACTGCCGTGTATGTCGTTGAAGGCGCGGTAGATGTTGTATTCAATACGACCCCCCACCTTTGCCAGGCCGTATACTCACATTTACCTACCAATATGCAGTCTATGGTTGATTTTGGTGAGCTGCAATTGATTCGGCCGCTTCTGCTGCCGCTGCTGGGGAAGGTTCTATTTTTGTCATTCCCTGCGGTAGTAATCAGTTGTTTCGGCATTTCGTCACGGACCAAATAAAAATCCTTTTTCGTAGAAAAAATAATGAAAGTCGCCCATAGCCACAGCAAGGACGAGGCCAACCGATGTCGTCTTTTATTCTATTTCCAGCCGATCTTATCAGACTTTTTGCTTTTTAGAGCTATCAATGTGATTGTCATCGTAGCTATTACAAGCAATAATTAACTACGTATCTATTATAATATTAATACATTTTCGCAGATTCAAATGTGATAGCCACGACCCAATAGAAGCGCAAAAACGGCAATATAATGTATTGAGCAAAGTTGAACTATCAACCAGGGCAAGATTCTATCTATTCTATATAGATACAATGGCTTTGTCTACAACATGTTATGCAGGATATAAACCTTTCGATTCTATCAACGACGTATATTACTACGGTACACGTTCAGCGATAGATAACAATGATGTTTTCGCTTGAAGACGAGAGGAAGCCTAAGGCAAATAGAGAATATCTTGTTTAGGCTTTGTTAACCGTAAATAATAATTAACTTGTTACCAGACGCCTCAGAGCGCTCTGTCAACAATGCTATAACATTTTTAATCATCGTGTCTGTAAGAATAAGGTGATTATTATGTAACATTGATAACAATATTTCGTCTGCTCATTTATTGTCATCGATCCTTAAAAGAATCAGTCCTAGGTGTTCGAATCACATGACCTGGGCGGTCAATCAAGGTCTCCCTTTTTGAAAATCACACCGTTCGGGACTATTGCAGGAAACAACCAGGTCGTTCCAGTTGCAGTGTCGCCGCAGTATGTCGCTCACATTTAGAAGCTGTGGTAGATCTCTCGAAAATCGTTTATCATCGCGTTTGAGTGAACAAATCTTTCTGCCTAATGCTTGACGTTGGCCATGGTCAGCAGATTGACGTAGGACGTTCCGCCCGGTTTTTGCTATTGAATGAAACGCATGTCAACGGATAATTGAGTAAACGAGAAAGCTAGAATGAAAAGTGTAATGAAATTGAGCCGAGTGTGGTAACGTGTGATGTCAAAGACCATGTAACAGAACATCGTCCTGAAGTTATAAAGTATCGTTGCAAAAAAGAGAGTCTTACATACAGCTACGGTATGGCGAGCGACATCAGCGTTAGATCGTCAGCAGAGATCGGTGAAACATAGCGTTTAATTCGATCGTCTATGATGGGACTCATCAGTCACATGCAATCGACTGCCTGTTGGGTACGAACCAGTGTCCTATATTAGTAGGTCAGTCGGCCTTGGATACGCACCTTGGTTGTCCTGTCCCGCGCTATATCTTCGTCTGATCAATAGGCAACTGATTTGCTGTGGCGGGCTCTAAAATAACGTGGGCTCTTTTTTGCCCATTGAGACAACTTATATATAGATAGTACGAGGTGCGCGCTGATACGTACCAGATGCAACAGTATATGACCCAGTCGTCGATCGAGATATTTGATTCGATACCGGGACTCGGTGCGTTCATGTAATTCACCGTGAAAGGCGATATAAAATCCAGCTCCAAATTGTGTTTGGGACAAAAAAACGGACACTGATGATTGACTTATTGTAATAACATCTAACCGAGCGCAACAATGAAATGTCAACACGGCAGTGTACAGATGACGAGGCGTCACAAGTCAAGCGTCATCCTATTCGCGTCTTTTGGAGTTCGTAAATCATTCATTGACACTTAACAGAACAGGTATCAGCTAAAGTTAATCTTTTAATTATAATATTTCGTAATGAATAGGTTTCCTATTGGCCTAGCACCGTCAAGATATAGTATGATTTCAATAGGACGTACAGCGATCACCTGGGACGCGATCTGGTACTAAGTCATTCAGCCGTCTAGTTCGAAAGTTAGCGTTATTGCTTTTGATGCGATATCTTTATTGACAAACAAGGATGCAATCCTAAAACTATATGAAACGGCACAAAGTTAACTGAAGTGCTTCATTTACGCAACTTCCTACACGAGCCATAATTTAACCTAAGGATCTTAGCGATGATTTATTTTACACTATAGTATTGTTACACTATGGTAACTACACTTAGACACTAGAAAATCCAATATAGATGAGCTATACCGCGCTGATTTGCCGAGACAAATTCATAATTTAAGAGCGCGTCGAAATTGCTACCCCGTTGTTACCCCGATTTCGTATTTAAACATTCGTGTGAGGGCTTACATCTACCCACTCGTAACATAGGCTCGTTAGGTAAATAACAGGTAGTAGGGTGTCGTAATATTTCCCAGCGCGTTGTCGGGGCTAATTCTAGTAGGTCGTTTCAATTAAATAAATAAACAACGTAAGTATTTGTGTGAATGGCTACGTGGACGTAGTCATTCATCTTAGAGAAACTATCCACGATATATTCTCTGAAATTGGCTAAAATCCTTAAATCTTCGTTGATTCGACTGGCACACATCTGGACATAATTAATCGGCGACATTCTCAAACAATTGAGTTAAATGAATGACTTTTATGTTTACATAATGATTTTTCGGCTTAATGATTCTTTGTTTGAGAAAAGGTCATTTGTTCTATTATTGATCAACGGTGCAGAGTGCTGTTACCAAATCCAAACTACTGACCAACATATGGCGGTAGTTCTCATACAGCTTACCTGGCAGGTACGATTTTTCCTTTAATGTTCCACCCAACCTAGAATAGCCAGTTCTATATTCTGTAGCCCGTCCCGTTTTAAGAGAACAGGCAACGCAGGGCAGGGCCCCTTTCACGACCTCCAGAAGGTTCCGTCTATTGTGGGTTCTTTTTCTCAGTCTCCTTCGTCCATGACGATATCTATGCATGACTCATTTCGACATTCACTTAGAAACCAATTCCACTCAATGCATCTGTACGAACGTGGTACCGTAGAAATTGTGGTGGCAAAAACAATAAGGAGATAACTCGTCTCATTGTCACTTCCTGATTCTCTGTTCCTGTTTTGCGTCGAGATACTATGACAAACGTACACTTCCCAGCAACTTGTTTTATTCAGGGTTGCTCTTGGTATGAATGCTGAATGCGTTCTAGCTTGACTCCTTACTTGTTTCACTTGTATCGCGGCTCGCGCGAGATCAGTCCATGTTTAAGGCATCACTGGGTATTCTAGTTGTGAGTGAGCCGGTAAGGTCGCAGAGCTGCTGGGCCCACATGGCGTTCCGCTTCGTTCAATGGAGTAAAAATAGTTTCCTCTTTTGCTGTCTGTCACAGTGCTGTTATCATAACTCGTATAATCTTTGACGCTAGAACCGTGCTATGCTATGTTGTACTCATACACCTGGTCCATAGTTGACAATTCTGGTCTTTCTAGGCCACGACGCTGGTAAAACAACTTGGGGACTCCAAAAGGCGCCGAGGGGCGAGCCTAAAGACCTTAATAGAAGCGGAAGTAGGTAAAAGCGCTGTTCTTCGCTGCTACGGTTTCCCGAGAAGGATGAAAACTTGCTCTTGGCGAGGTGAAGCTGTTCTTAGCCTAAATCTTTTCTAGTCTTGATACTGTCCTAATAGAACCCATGTGTAACAGCAGGCGCCAGTTGGAATAATCTTCCTATACCGACGTAGAGCTTTAACCGATCTCTTCAGCAGCGGTAAATGCTGATCCTGTTCGTTTACAGCGCTCTTAAATGATCTGCTTGGTAGTAGTATAAGCGTTTTATTCCGACTCGATAACGCATGTGTTTGTATGCAATTAGGATTGCGTCAATGCAATGAATGATCAGCCTACGCTCGGGTGTTTGGTAGGTTATTCTCCGTACACAGCAGTTCACAGGTATAATGTGCACCTATTATTGTAGATATCTATTTCGTTATAATACAGATGGCTGTCAAGCTGATTCTTCTGATCCGTAACAATATGCGTAGCCAGCAAAATGCTGAGTCGGACCATGTCTGCCTGATACAATGGTTAGGAATATCTGCTTCAAGGGTGATCAGGGTGCTAGGTGGTTCATGGGAGTTCTGCTTGTGGTATAAGAACACGAATCTTTGTCCATTAAAATTAGAGACAATCATCTGTGATGTTTTATGGTCATTCACTTATGCTCAAAAGTACTACCGAATCTTACCCAAGTTCAGACGTTTAGTCTGTATATTTATATTTGTGATTAATCGATGTTGTATGAGGTATTTTGAGTTTCCAAATAGTTTTCTTCCACTTTCATAGCGGTGGATCGCTTAAGTGTAACAACAAATATCAACGTCGCCACTTTACCATATCGTGACTACAATAGGCCATCGACAGAAAACTTGCCATTAAAGCTGGCCCATGCTACTTTCTATCGGGGGTCATTTAGCAGCATTTCAACCCTACTACTCTAATTGGTAAGTGTGTTCGATAAGCAGTGCTACGCAGACATCGAGATCATTCGTTCTAACCAACGGATATACTGCGCCGAAATGGGAAGTTTGGCGGTAACTTAAATTTAAATGATTTCAATTTGTTTGATTTCAACCGATCCCTTAAAAGTCGGAAGGCTAGACACGGTTAATACACAAAAAAAAAGGTCGAAATAGATGATACATTACAGTTCTTCACACCGGCTAACATGGCCTCCAATAGATTCGAATTATGCTAGATTATAGATAGGTCGCATCAACATCTGTAAACGAATTCCTTCAAATGGGACATATGGCAGTTGCCCTTCTTCATTCACTGCGTGAAAACGTCAATGAAAGGCTAATACAGACACATCAACTGTGACTCGTGAGCTGCTGCGTAGGGCCATCGGCCGCTGACGCCGATAATAAGGCTAAAGGAAGACGCTGTTGTGTATGTATGGGTGAAGTATTATGCGAAATAAACTCCCGCCAGCAACTCGGCTGTGGATGGCGGAGGTTGATCGTAGTGGCATTCTGCCATGAGTATACAAATTCATATATAGGAAAAGAAAGCCAAAGAAAAATAAGAAGACGTAAGGATATCAGCTGAGGTTTTAATGGAAAAAAACAAACCTGATATATTGAATACTAAATACTTTGAGAAAATCTAATGACTAAGTATATTAGCAATGAATATATATTTTTCATCGAAGAAATTCTATCAGATGGTGAGAAATAATCCCGATACGCTATAGAAGCAAATTAGTGGATTCATATGTCAGGCCTCTATCGACCGTCGTTACCTAGTTATTTATCGAGCATTAATAATGCGAATTATAATATCTGCTCAACAGTACGAACGTAATCTGTGTTTACGAGAACTTCCAATTTTTTTGGCGAAGCTAAGCTGCCGGTTTTTTCAAAACGTTGCAGCTACATATGTGCATAGGTATTCAACCTGGTTATGTGGACCACCCAGGGAGACACCCCCCTCCCCCCCCGCGCACACAAAGCTTTCAGGCATGTAGTGGCACCATTCGCTCACCTCCGATCATTAGTTGTTGCCTTTATTTTGTTCCTTTGCGGCCCTTCTGAAACGCTTCGTCCTCTTGCATCGACGTTAATCGACGCTTTTCCTTAAATAGGCTGAGCGTCATCCATCTTCTGCGAAGAAGGTTCCGTCTCCTTGACACAGACTTGACTTGAGAGAGGAACATATCTCCACAGAAAAACGGATGTGAGCATGAGGAAGAATATCGACTGCCTGCGTTTGACAGTTGATTGCCGCTCAAGAGACACATAAAATAGATACTTGCTCATGTCTTTCGCCTCCACTGGACATCTATTAGTGACTGAGAGTCGATAGCGTATGTAACTACGCTACATATTGAGCTAAGCTCAATCAATCGCCAAGAACAATAGAGACAATTTACATCGTTGACTTTTACTAACTTTAAAGCGAAATATAACCATCGACACGATAAACTGAAAGTGGAGCAAATTTTAATTTCATATATAGACATACTTCACACTAAATGCGCATTGTGATCACTTCGATAATGTTTCCAACTAAATCAAGTATAGTCGCTATAACGAACAGACGATAGTCCACGTATTTCAGTATGAGCTGCTGTGACGCCTACATGCATATTCAGCAATGGCCACATACGACAAATCCTCTGAACGAGGCGTTCTTCTGCCGCTCCTTTGGTCTGCATTCTCGTTCACCACCACCAACAGCAGCAGCAACAACAACAACAACAATAAAGCTCTACCGTCGCACCAGAACGTCTTGCTTTCCGCCTTCTTCCCGACTTCTCGCATTTTTATCTCCAGATTCCCTTTATATGTCTCTGGCTATTTTTATCCCGCTACCGCGTGTCGATTTTACGACTCCGGCAGAGATCGGCCATTGCCGCTACATCTGGAAATATTTTCAGAGCTGTTTTTATGTCTGCTTCTTTTCCTGATCCTTGCGTGTGGTTGTGCATTGCGCGTGCTGCAGCAAAGATCGCAGCAGCTTTAAGACAGTCGTTGTTGTTGGCGGCTTACGGATGTTCCTCGTAATGTTGCGCCAGTCGAACTCGGCAAAAGGAAGCTCGACGACTGTCAGACTTTTCGAACAACAGGAATAACAAATAGCTATCAGTTGGCTCGGACTGATTGAAGCAAAGACGCATTGGTGGGCATTATTGTTACAGCTCTCCGATCTAACTAGCAGGATTTCACAAACTGGTCCGAACTCCGAGAATTTTACCTTAAACGTAAATATCAATCCTGAACTGCTTTGCCTAAAACCCGCGTGAATTGCAACGGCGATAGCAGACGACTTTACTCGGAAAGGTTGTCGCGTAGATATGGTCAATCAAAACGAAAACAATGTTGAAAGCGACAAACATTTAACAGTGCATCGCTCGTAGCCCAAGCAGACGGATTATCTGTATAGGCAAATGTATGTATATAAACTATTCGGTTTTGCGGTTATGATAAAATGTCGAATTAAATCAACAAAGCCAAGGTTAACAGTGGAGCTATTTTTTGGCGCGTAATAATTGGGAATCGCATAGCTTTTGAAATCTAGTATGGAGACAAAACGCGCCCAGTTACGTCATTATTATTGTCGTTATTAATAAGGTGGGAAAGAGTTATCGCAGGCAACGCCCAAACGTGAATGCAGCAATTTCTTGATACGATAGACAATGCGGCGATGCTAGTCGGTCGGTACATAGAGCGCTACCTACCACATCAGCAAAAATTGCCGGTGCCAATCTTTACCACCTAACTCTACTAGAAACAGACCCAAGTTTTTGCTGCCTTGTCTAGCATTTTTTTTTTTTTTTTTCGAGTCAAACATCGTAAAAATAATAACAATAATAGTACTTTTAGAATAAGACTGTTATTCGTAAGTAGGCAAATGCTTGTGTTTTGCCTCCGTTAGCACACTTGTTGGCATATGCTAGTGTATAATATATAGCTTTCAGAGATTTGTTCGATATTTTCCAGTTCAACGGAAGCAATAGAAAAAAAGGAAGTGGTGCCTTCGGTTACTTTTACACAGAGAAAACCGTGTATCTTCATGCAGAGACGTCGCTTTGAAACGTTCGGGCTGGAAAATTTTGACACACGGATTGCAGGGGAGGGGGACAGAACCCCCTGGTGATGCCGTAGCGACAGACTGTTACAACGACGCTAGCCTGTAACAAAGAGATTCTATCGTATGCGTCTGAACGGTGAAAAGAACCGTTAGTTCTAGTCGTTTGTGTGGTAGTTGTATTCGTCAATCACGTGGAAAAAGTGGCTCTAGACTATAATAGAACGTAGAACGCTGATTTTGTTTTCTGTCGACTGTGCCTCGATTGATAATGACATCTGGGTCTGTGCTGAAAATACTGATGATCATAAGAACATTTCTCGTTTCTGAATGTTGCTGAACGTAACGAACAAAGCGAAAATAGCGGCTTCTATTCGGGGCTAGCTGTTTTTTTCCCTGTTATTTTGACATATATTCTTTTATTTGATTTAGTAGAGAATCATAGGCCAAACAGCAAACACTCGCCGAGAGCATGAATATTACCGGAACGGACAAAATTGTCAGATGGCAAAAGACTAGAAATATAAAGTTCAGAAAATAACGTTCTGAAATATACGCCCGGTTCGAGACTGTTCAATTAACTTGGCCTTTTGAATCAATTCAACCTAATTCAACTGTCAAAACGTATCACAGTAATATTTAATGACCCCTGGGGCATAATAGCTCAACCTTTGTCATAATCAACTCTATAGTGTTTGCATCATAATACGAATTAAATTATATAGTGTTTGTTATTAACGTTTTTAGCTTGTGGCACGAAACAACAAACACTGAGATATTTCCTTTTAGTTGTAGTTTTTTTTCTATGGACAGTTTCTGTGGGGCCTTTCTCGCTGTTGGCCTAATCCTTATTGGCGCTAGCTTTAGACAAAAAAAAAGTCAGATCATGAGTTCCGCTATGTTAATTCGTATGAGGAAACCTTCTCTTTTTTCAAGGAGGTCTCAAGGAGACCATTCGTGCCGCTAAGTATTCATCGTCACGAAGTTTCAGCCACGAAAGGATTTACCTGTTCTGCAGTCGATGTTCTTCGGAACACCCGAAAGCTTGAAAATTGTGTATGTAGTGAATTGTCTAAAAACACGGTAATGAATTTCGCTTATTTGATTATATTTTATTGGGCCTGATGTAGACCTGGACTGAAATGCGTACGGGCCGATAGATGCTCACAGAATTTTATGTTTATATAGTTTACAAACGTACTCTAATCACAGGTGCTTCTCGCATATAGATGTCACACAGTTGCTTCATTTCGGATTAAAAATCGAAATGCTTAATTTTCACGTACCGGCAAATATTGCGGAAAAAATATTAAAGAGCCTGCTTTAAATTCGGTATTTTCAAAATATGGACGCTGTTTTTCCTCACATTTAAATATGTATGACATGGATAAGCTTGTACTGCTAGTAAGCAGTTCACTTTTTGTTTATCGTAACAGAGCTTGTTGCCATATACTTTTAGCTCGCCTGCTGCTATGAACGGACGTTGGCATATTGGCTTGTTTTCGTCGCAACAATCACCGACCCTTTTTCCTTTCACTTTTACGACAATCACGACTTTTCCTTACCTCTTTTGTCCGGGATCTTCTTTTGTCCCCCTCGAGTCGTCGTCTCTTCTCCTTCATGCTTACATCGAGTCGTCTTCATGCTTACGTTTCTCTTCCCTCTCTTCATACCTCTTACCTCACTGTGCGCAAGCTGAATCACACGAGTTTGCTTCGACTTTCACACTATCACCCCGTGTTCCTCTGGTGTGTGTTTGTCTCTACATGTGATTGCACGTGTATGTCTACATATGCGTGCAAAATCACGTTTAAATGTTTTGCTTTTCTACTCCGTAACGAACATCTT